CAGCTCTGACGCTGATTTCGGGGAGGCACCAATGATTTTGAGCGTGTTTGTGCGTAGAATGAAGCGTTGCTTTTCAGAAAAGTGGATTCGCGTGGGCTCTCGATCGTAACAATGGCAGTCTTGTTTGGTTTAAGGAAAGTTTTGTTCATGTTTTCCTTATGCATCTTTTCTGCGGTTCTAGATTATGCTATTTGAATTAGATTTACTTTATATTATTATGGATGGGTTAATGTGTTATGTTTTCTTATAAGTTAAATATTCAATAAAACTCTAAGCATTCTCTTGTCATCTCAATTTTCAAGTATTTTTCGTGCAGGAGGCTGGACCGGGAGGGCTCGGCGGGGGCAGGATGTGGGGCGCCGCCACGGACGAGAAGAGGGTCTACACGAACATAGCCAACAGCCAACACAAGAACTTCACACTCAGACCATCAAACACAAGTACTACAATTGCAGGAGGGTGGGTAGCAATAGAAGCTAAAAGCGGAAACATCCTCTGGTCGACCACCAACCTTAACGATGCCACCGCCCCGGGACCGGTTATGATGGCCAACGGGGTCGTGTTTGCCGGATCTACTTATTGGCAAGGACCGATATATGCGATGGACGTAAAGCCAGGGAAAATTCTTTGGTCACATGACACTGCAGCTACTGTTTATGGAGGCATATCAGTGAGCAATGGGTGCATTTATGTTGGAAATGGTTACAAAGAACATATTGGATTTGTTAACAAGAATTACACAGCTGGTAACTCCCTCTATGCCTTCTGTGTCTAAGCCCTTTCTCAGTTTGATTTTGTTTTCAGAGGCTAGATCTTAATTTTTTATCCATACTTTCTTTTTAATCAGTTTMTAATTTATGTTTCGCTGTCCCCGAGTCGGAGATATATGCTCCAGTCTCATTTTTATTAGCATCAAGGTATTAAATTTCCATTGACATTCTATCAATACGTAGAGGTTCGACATGAATGATGAATCAACATTTCCATAGTATCCTTAAAAAATCGACAACGTATAAAATATATTAATATAATATCAATAATAATATAGACACAATGTCAATATTAATAATTTGAAACTTGTTAAAAAGCGTGGATGCTTATTCGTTAATTTAACTATTTATTATAGATTTTTTATTTTTATAATCTTTCTAAATATATTCATCAACAGAGATATTTTATCCTTATTTTCATCAACATTTTTATAAATCTTTCCTAGGATGAATTAGTTCGAAGTTTATTATTCGTTAAAACGAGGTGAGGTTAGGTTTTTTTATAAAAGAAAAAAAACTAAATAAATAAAAATAATGGACAAAGTGGCAATGTGGTTTAAGCTCATCAAAATACATGTCACACCATATATTAAAACAGATATAATATTAAATTAAAAATAAAGTTTAATCACGTCTCGTCCAAAATATAACCTTTCAAATATTGCTCAAGAAATGTTCTAAATAATTATGTTTAAACTTTTAGAACATGAAGAGCTAGAGGTCATACACTTTTTTTCAAATTTATAATAATAATAATTTCATTTTACTTGTTCATAATGAAAAGCTCATAATAAAATTCAAAATCAAAAGATAAAGATGGGCATAAAAGGTCTTTTTCTTTTTTTTAAGAATCACAACAAAAACACACAATTAGATTCTAATTTTCTATTAGAAAAACATCAATTAAATCTGCACATTGGCTCTTCAAATTCTCAAAGTTATCAACGTTCTAACTTCTGAATTTTTAAATGAGATAAAAACTGGGCAGGAAACGAAGATTTAAATACTATTTTAGCTACTTTCAATTTCGTTTTCTATACTTTTAAAAAGTATTTTAGTTTTTATATTTTTTTTTCCATTTGGGCCTCTATATTTTTGTCGTTCTAATCTCWGTACTTTTTTTTTCAAAATGACCATTTATATCCCTCTTTTTTATACTTATTTCATATATTTCAATCAAAATTTTAAGATGAATTCGCTTAACTAAACTTTTTGAAATATAAAATAAATTTGTATTAAAGGTTTCGATTTAATATAAAATTTATGTTATAATTTTACAAATAAAAACTAAAATTATCACTTTTTAGAAGTATATGGATCAAAAACAAACGTCCCAAATATAGAGATTAAAATGAAAATTTTAAAGTTGAAAATATAGGAATCAAAATAGAATTTAGGGGCTGTTTGTTTTTTGGAAATGTAGATGCCCCACATCTTCAGATGCCTGGAATTTTAGATTTCCGGCATCTTAGCCACGTTTGTTTCGTAAGAAAATATATAAGGATGTCCGAGAATATCTAAATAGTCACGTTCGTTTTGCATGATTTATTCATGGGAATAATGTTCTAAATTTATATAATGTTCCAAAAATGCCGTTACGAATATTCATATAATTTATACATTAATCTAATATAATTTGCATTTATATAATAGATTTTCTTATAATTAATTTAATATTTAAAGTTTTTTTATTATTAATTACGTAAATGTATTAATTTTGGTATGTTATTAGGTATAATTCATATTAATATGCCAAAACGAACATAGCTCAGCGGTAATTGGCATATATCACCAATCAAGAGGTTGTGAGTTCGAATTCCCCCAACAAGTTGTACTAAAAAAAATCATATGGTATTATATAATTTAATTGAAGTTTATTTTATATGTACATGTAATACACAAATATATTTAATTGCTTATTAGCCAATGAGTACATTAATTTATTTAAATTATAAAATTATAAATAAAACCAAAGAAATTTGATAAAAGAAAATATATAAAAAAATAATGAACATGAAAAAATGTCAACATAGGATGCACTCCATGTGGGAACATGAGATACTAGGGTATCTTACAAGTGAAAATCTAGATGGCCGTCACAATTATCGCTTTGGCGCTTTGGTTCATCTTGGTCTCTATACTTTCGAGATATTCATTTTTGTCCATATTTTCAACCTTAATACAAAATTTTAACACAAATTCTACACCATAACATAAACTCTTAAATATAAAGTTATAGTTACATTTTAATATTGAATGTAGTGTCATATTAGAATTATGATGGAAAAAATGAGATGAAAACTAAAGTTAAGGGACCAAAATAGTTACCTTTTAGAAGCTGTTTGTTTCATGGGAATCTGAGATTCTTATGGGATGGTCATCCAGGTACCCGCGCTTATTCGATAAGAATGTTGGATACCCGAGTATTGACATCCTAGGATGAGTATGCGGGAGGCATCTGAGCAATTTTAAATGCCCTCTTGTAACATGGGTTTCTAAGATTCCCGTGTTGAGAGCATCTTTTTTGACAATTTTGTCCCTCATTATTTTTGTTGTATAATATTTTTTCTTCAATAATATTTATTTCTTATTTATTTTATTTTATTTTAAAAATAAATGTATGCACTCATTCATTGATAAATATCTAAATACAATTTTATTTATAYGGTACATTTATATATAAAATAAATATTAGTCAATGGTACAACATCTTAATTTGTTTGTAATTTAAATCTAGGTACTTCGTTTATTTTACTCTTCCAATAGTCACCAAACATAAATTAAAATTGACATAAAAATATAATATTAAATTAATAAAAGTACAACTTTTATATGAATTCAAATAATATTAAATTTAACATATAAATTATATGATGACCGACAAGGGCATTACATAAATTATGCAAAACAAACGTGGTTATCAAATTTTCTTACAAAACAAACGACCCCTTAAAATTCAACCACCAAAATGAAGTCATTAGTCAGCATTTTAAAAGTATACGAACTAAAATGAACCAAAATGAAAAGTATAAAAATCGAAATAAATATTTTAAAAATATAAAAATCAAAATGAACTAGGTCAAAAGTATAATATTTTAATCTATAATTTAAACAAACTACCAAACTTTCCCCCAAAAAAAGACAAAAGAACGAGTGAATTTCAGGGACAAGGAAAATCTGGATAGAAGCCTATCATTTTCTGTGTTTTTCTTTCGAGGTGAATCTGTTAAAAACATGAACAAACTGAGAGAGAAAATTGGAAGAACATAACAAATTCATACTCCTTTTTACTTGTCACTTTCTAACTTGACTATATACAAAAAGATGATTAAAAACAGTAAGATGAGTGAACAAAAAAAAAGTACCTAATTCATGTTCCACAGAGAAGAAAGATCAGTAAAAGAAG